TATGACAAGTCCATAACAAAAAAGGCGGACAATGCGCCCCACGGGACTCACTGATAGACCCAAAAGGCAAAGACAGTGAACACCACACCAAACGAATTCTCCTTCATTATGGGGAATACAACCCCAGCAACCGCAGATTAAACAGATCATTCTTAAAACACTGGCACGTTCTCTCAGCCTCACCGGCCCTTAAACACATCCACGACCATCCGCCACTCTCGCTAAGCAGAAGGTAAATGAAATCGAAAAGGATGCCGCTCAATACCGCCAGAAATATCCACGGCCGCACACCTCCACCACGCCGCATGGAGTCGCACCACCCGCCAGGTATTACGCCCTTGCAGACTCAGCACGCTGGGCTCCCACGTGCAACGCACGGTCAACTTACACACGTCCTACCCTTCCTCCCCTATCAAGAAATCCAGCAGAGCACTCCGTTCCTGAAAACTCCACGAAACCTCAAATCTGGCGAAGATCTCCTGTCATAAATGCCGCCACGGCCAGATAGATAGGCGAGACCGCAGCGTAGACTCAAAGATCGGATAGTTGAACACCTCTGTGAAGCATTACAAACGAGACATGAGAAAACGCCGTCATGCTAATTTTCCACGCACAACCAACACCGCAAGAAAAATATTCTCAGACTTCCCTGACAGCCACATACGATTCGCGCATCAGAAAAAAAAAGAGAGTTACTTCTAACATATTTCGTCTCTAGAAAATGCCTTTTTGGCATCTTCTTTTCGCCCCGCCGAAAATATCAGCACTAGAGTGGCAATAATCTGCATTATGCACGCACAAGTTAATGACCTCGTGACTCTAGAAAGCATTAAGAATAAAATTGTCTTGTTCGTTGTCCTTCGTGACATTCCGTCAGGTGACGTAAGTTCAGCAGCGACGCGTTGGTCATATTTGTGTTTGAATGTTAGCAGACAACTTTGTTAGGATTACGCATCATAGAGCTGGCAAAAGTTTGCGACGGCGAACATAGAGGGCATGATCTGTAGTTATTTAACGATGAATAAAGTGTATGGTGTGTAAGCGAAGTAACAGTGTGAGTATTTTTTAATTAATAATGCTGTTCGATGCTTATTCAGCCTGCTGCCTATGGAGGCGATCTACTGTTGTTCACCACCTAGAAGACAATCACATTACTCCTGCCAGCATGATATCAACGCGTGAGGCTATCCCTAGCCAGACGACCCCAGGGTAGCAAGCAGTTCGATGCACCTTTTATACACAGTCATACTATATAGACCTACTATGTGTGCTATAAGAGCATTTATTAATACTGTATATGTTTTATTTTTTCATCGAAACTGAGTATTTTCCGTTAGCCCAATCAGGACTTCTTATCAGCGACTGCGGTAATGCGCGATGAACTTTCCATCGTCTGTTAAATTCTCGTCGGCGATGTGTATTTACTTCATAAGATTATATAAGATAACAAGCAATACATGCAGTGTATAATATATATAATATATAATATATATATATATATATAAATAATAAATAATATATATATATGTGTAGTATGTGTGTGTGTGTGCGTGCGTGAGCGTGCGTGCGTGCCGGTGCGCGCGAGGCGTGTGTAGTAGCATCTGAGCATTCGATTAGCTTTGCATAACTCACGACGAGGAATCGCATGTGGCGAAGGACTCGCTCCGACACGCCCTGGCAGCAAGCTGCCAAAGGCACCGATCCTAACAAAACCGGGACTACGCAGTGCGCTACGTAACGCATGAATATAAGCTTCCACAAGCAGAAACGAGATAACAACCATATTCAAACTAGCAATTAGCCAGTAATAGCGCTGCAATACACAATAATATTTGTGACTTCATTCGTTACCTTAATGAAAATATGGTAGAAATGTTCGCCTTTTGGTATCTCTATTATTATTAATCAGGGGCACTATTGACTGAAACAAATAAGTCTTAATTATTACTAACATACACTTTCCACTCCGTAATCCGTTGACAGACATACAATTGCAAAGTTACGAGAAATTAAATACGGTTTCACGAAAGGTCGGGCCCCGCTCGAAATATCCTCTAACTATTACCAAGAGCCCAGAACCGCCTCTTGTAACTTTAATATTAAGATGAAAATGACACCATTTACACATACGCAATTTACAATTATAGTGATATTATTATTTTATAATAATGAAGTAAACGTGTGGTGTTGTACTATAAAAGAACAACAAGGCCAAAAACATTAATTTTTCTACCGATCGTAAACAAAAACAAACATTTACAAAGGCGCGTGGTTCTCTGTCTTTTGGATGGTTTTGAGAAGTGACGACTCTCGGGGCGTCTCGTGTTAGCAGTGTGAGAATTTGTCTTGTTGTGTGTATGTCATTATTTTATTCAGAATCAATTTAAGACCTAATATATATTTTTTTATTGTGGTTCTCAAAGCAGCACATCAGAAGATTGAAAACACAAATTTTAGTGGTTCATTTCGGTTCATTAGTATTTTAAAAACGGTAATTTGTCTGTGTATACATCGATATAGAGGTTCCGCGACTTTGGTCTAAGAAATATCAATATTAACCTAGCAATCCCGTGCCGCCGGCCAATACCGGTTACAATAGAGCGAACACGCGTCGCGGTATGTAGGGCATCCTACTGCGCAATCGACACGCGAGATTTTACAATTGACTAAGTGTTATTATTGCAATAGATATTAGAAGTAAGAGGATCCACGATTATCAGACAGGTTTGTCAGCGTGGTTTTAGGTGGCTGCAGTTCATGAGGCCTGCACACAGTCGCAGATTCGAGATTGAGCAGATCGGAAAGATTGCAGCGCACACATATATGATTACATAGACTTTACCCTAACCCTAACCCTAACTCCTAATCCGCTAACCCCTAACGCCTAACTCTAACCCCTAACCATAACTCTAACCCTAACCTGTTGCAATATTCGGTCTATCGGACCTTCGTCTATCGACCTTACGTCCTCTAGGGCTGCCCCCAGAAGGGTCACATGTTGGCCTCGGTGCTATTTTATGTCAGAGTAATAGGCCTATACGTGCAAGCGATAATCACACACCCACTCAAACAGACAGCTGCACTATACTGGAATGCCGCGACATAGTGTATATAAGCGTTAAATGTGTAGCGGCGTGGCGCCGTGCGTGCGGATGTACCTGTGTGTTGCGCGGGAGGAGATTCTGACGCGGAGCATTTTACAAGTAAATTATGCGGCAATACTAGCGAAAGAGAGTAGAGAAAGCATTAAAGACAATTGGTAAGCTAAATACATTCGTGTTTATTCAGCATTGATTTTATTAAAAATCTCCAAAGTGCGTCTGGTGGTCAACGCTGTCTCTCGATCACTTTACCTGTTTGGGATCACGCTAGGCAGCCTAATAAAAGCTGTCGTGTCTCTCTCTGATACCGATTGCTGGGCAGTTGACAACACCGCAGGAGAGCGGCCGTTGTGATCATTGCTTAATAGGCGAATATAAAATAAGCAGAGGTGCGCACTGCTCAATGTACTTGTACCATGCTTGAACTGGTTTCTGTATCCGTCAGGGCCGGCGGCGTTGCATTGTGGGTAATATAAAAAATCGCGGAACTCTCTATAATGTAAAATGCAGTTAATCCGTCCGACAGTATGTGAAATACTGACATAGCGCCCTTCCGCTACAACGTCACTATTTCACATACGCAGCGTAGAACTATGTAGAACTGTTACGTTTTGGGTCCAGCGGTATGTCAGTATTCTACATTGCGCTCGCAAGCTATGTGAACATTTCACATAATGATTTTGTTGGCGTTTGCCGATAGACGCCACCGTCACCATTTTGCATATTATGTGTGATAAATTCAATAACTTTTATTGAAGAGTAGACACAACTAACAAGGATTAGAACGTATTTGTAGAGCTGAAATAAAAAATTCAGTTGTAGGATATGTGTGTTAGCGGTAAGATCTTTGACATTCGATACGTTAGTGTTTTTGTCGCAGATAAGTGCACGAGAAACCACTGCCAGCCAGGTTTGATCGGAGCCAGCAAGGTATTTTTTTTTAATTGGTACCTATTAGCTAAAAAAAAGCTCATATTAGTACTAACTAACTACTACTAACTCGTAACTCGTACTATTGTTTTTTCTCTGAATTATAGATCTTGAATTACATGGACCAGTTGGCAATGGTTAATAGCATCGTTTCTATCGAACAACGACCTTCAAAACTCTCCCCATAATGAAGTAGCTGCTAATCTGATGCTATACAGAACAAAGAAAACGTCCGCTTTCCTAATAGACTCACCTTTAGTACACGCAGTGGTTCACCTTTTCAATAGCTTTTGTGAAAATAAGCCAAGAGGCAATGGAAATACAATATTGTCATTTCTCGTTACACGCTAGCACCATCTATGGGCCACATTTGTCCCAAATCGGCTTTACGGTTAACATTTGCAGTAAATGATATTATATTCAATCATAATGCTGTGATTGAATTAACTAACAAACCGGCTGACCTACCAACCGACCGACCGACCGACCGACCGACCGACCGACCGACCGACCGACCGACCGACCGACCGACCGACCGACCGACCGACTGACTAACTAACCTATTTACTAACTACTCATTAATTAAGTTATTTTAAGAAATTAATGTTAATTCGTAATCGTTTCTAGTTTAAATTACAGCCTCATATCGTTTCCCGTAATGAATTATTATGTCATTAAAATAAAAAAACAATGCTCATGACTTTTTTTCTGAAATCGCAGCTGTGCGCATATAAGAGCACTGTTCGTAAATGAATTGTAAAAGCACTGAGTTAGACAAACATAATGAAGCCGCTGTTCACTCTATAACGTTCATGCGTCATAGCGACAATAGCCTACTCCACCCTCACAGCCGGCCAGCTACGTTTTAGAGGTGTCATACTTTGACAGCATATAGTTCAGTCCACTACGTCTGAAATTAAAACACGTTTGAAATTAAAGCTTACAAATATAAATATTTTAGATATAATCTTAAGATGATAACATCATTGTAGGTATTTTTGCTGATATACCAGGAGATATAAAGACATTTGGGAATTTCTATTGTTGCGTGCGATGTTTTCACTTAATTTTACGGTGTCTTAGTAGATTAGTATTGAAATGCGCATGTAGGCTAATTTCAATGTAACACGTGCACAAAAACAAGTTTTACTCTTATTATTATTATCATTATAATTATTTATTATTGTTACTATTATTATATCACACGATGGTTTTATGTACGTAGATTGATACCCCTGGATCTTCAGAGAAGCAGGCAGTATGGATCGACTGTGGCACACACGCTAGGGAGTGGGTGTCGCACTCTACCTGTATCTGGATGATGACACAGGTACGGTGGTGCTCTCGTTCGTGCATGTTATCGTACAGTTGCGTACCTCGATCAAGAACGGCTTAAGGACCCTCGTGTTGGAAAAATGTGTCTGGTTCATCACTCCGGGGTGTGGTTCCACTCGGTTAATATTTGGGGCTTCGGCGAGAAATGTTCAAGCCATGTCGGCAATGGACTGAAGATGGGGTCCCCTGTCATTTCTACTCGATATCGGCCTCGATATATTCAGCCTCGATATCGAAAGGTAATCCGTGAAGTAACTGCTGCGTCCCCGCGTCGCGGTTGCAGCGAAGGGAATTTTTTTCCGCAATCACTGCCGGGAATATTGCATCAGATTTTATTTAAACTATTTCCTCCGTAAATTTGTTAATATAATATTGTTATTTAATTATGCCGACAATTTTGCAGCGTGCGCGATGATGTAGCTGATAGTCTCCTCTGCATTGCTGCACATTCTGCACTTGCTGTTGAACTGTTGCTTGAGGATGTTGCGTTGATGGTATCTGGTGTTGAGTGATTGGTCTTGGGCTGCAATGATCAGGCTTTCTGTCTCGACCTTGAGCCCGGAACTACTCAGCCAGGCAACGCTTGCGACAAATGGCCTGTCGAGGCTCTTGTAGAATCTTCCATGCAAAGGCTTGTTCTTCAATACCTCGATCTTCTTTGCTTCTATATTGGCCTTCAGTCTCTGCTTTATTGTGGGATTGGCTGGTGGGCTAGGGAGACAAGTATTTTGCTTTGATTTCTTTAGCCTGGCGTAAGAGAGCGTGCTTTGATTTTTCAGACTGATGGATTTTGATAAGCTTTGTAAATTTGTCTTCCTTAAGCTCGATGTAGTCGCCTAGACCTACAATGTCAGTGTTGTACGCAGACATCAGTTTAATGAGACCACGACCACCATTTTGCCTCTTGATAAACAGTCGCTCTACATCTGCTTTTTGGTGATGGAGACCGTGCATGGTTAGTAGCTTTCTTATCTTGCGATCCATCCTTTCGATATCTGATCGCAACCAGTTGATCACCCCGAATCTGTGATCTTGTTTTTTTTAGCAGAGCTCAGACTTGAGAACTAGGCGAACTCGGCGATAATAATCCTTAGCAATGTTCTCCTTCATCTTTGCATGCTGAATACCATCACCTTCGTCTACACCAAGATATTTGTAGGTGTCCTCGTGGTTCAGACTTTGTAGGGCTGTCTTAATTGTCACCAAGCTCGATATTTCGACTTTTTACAAGCTCACCACCTTTTAAGATTGCGGTTGCACACCTTTCCAATTATTATTATTCTTATTCTTCTTCTTCTTCTTCTTCTTCTTCTTCTTCTTATTAATATTGTTGTTGTTGTTATCATTATTGTTATTATTGTTGTAGTTCTATTTTGGTGATAACTTCAGGTTCTCGAAAAATGTAGCAGCGTAGAGATTGTAGAGATGTATCGTAGAGTCGTGCGGCAGATGATTGCAGATTCAAAATGAGACAGCGTCGCAGATTGGTAGTTGACCAAGGACTTTATTAGTACTTGACACATACATACTAAATACAACCTAGGTAACCATGCCTAGGTCCCGCCTGGCGTCTCTCGTTCTCCGTATTTTTACATAGTAACTGTGTATGAGTATCTGTCCGAGACTATGTGTGTCGTGACTCTCGATCTCTCTCCCACGTCCGATACATATACTCATTAAAAGGTGGTTCGGGCACTTCCACAATCCGATCTATTGTTCAGCTGTTTATTCTAGTAATAACACATTGCGTGCAATTGTCTCTCAACGTGCGAGTGGGGCTACGAGCCACGGAGCCTTAGGTTATTACAATAATATCGAGGAGATAAGCTCAAAGAGCGCTGGCACACCTAGCCAGCGTAATTAGCCACACGCCTCCACGCCAGTTAGCTTACAATATTATTATTTTTATTTTATATTATAATTATTAATTGCAATAATATTCTCGCTCTCAAGCTGATCGAAGGCTACGGTGTGAAGTCAGTGGAGACAGATCTCGTGGACAACCTCGTCTGGTACTTCGTTCCCGTTATGAATCCAGATGGATACGTTTACACGCACGAAAAGGTGAGGAAGAAGCGGAAAAGAGCAGCTAATCTATTTACTATACACTACGTTATACAGCAATGCTATAAACTACCATAATATATGGACCTACTATGTGTGCTATCACGAGCTATTAATACTTGTATTGTTTTTTATGCGAAACTGAGATTTCCGTTACCCAATCAGGACTCTTATATCACGCTGCCGTAATGCGCGAATAAACTTTCTATCCCCTGCTAACGCTCGTTGCTATGTGTATTTAATATAGATTCTACAATATAACCCAATATATATAGATATGTATGTATATATAGTATATATAATATATAGTATATATAGATATATGTATGGTATATATATTGTGCGTGCGGGTTTATACTAAATACTATATATACTTAGTTGCGCGTTGTGTGCGTTAGTGCGTGCAGCGCGTCACGAGTGCGGCGCGCGTATTGTTCGGCGCGCGTATGGTGCGTGCGCGTGTGTGTCGTACGTTTGAGGTATTTCGATTAGCTTGAGTATCACCGACAGGAATCGCATGTGGCGAAAGGACTCGTCACCAACCCTGGCATTGTTCCGCTTTACAAAGCACCGATCCTAACAGAAATTTGGACTAGCCTAGTGGCTCGGTACGCATGAACATAACTCTACAGCAACACGATAACTAAGAATGCATATCAAATTAGCATACAGTATGCGCTATTAGTCATACAATAATAATTTGTGATTATTTGTTATTTTCAATTAAAACATGGTAGAAATGTTCGCCTTTTTTCTCTATTAATCGTGTCAGCAAGGGTGATATATATATATGATATATTATATAGATATTATATGTGTGTGTATGTATGTATGTGTATGAGTGTGTGGGAAGGTAGTGCGTGTTGGTGTGTGCGGTGTGCGCCGCGCGCGCGCGCGGTGGTGTGTGGGGTTGTGTTGTGTGTGTGTGGTGTGTGTGTGTGTGTGTGGTCGTGTGTGTGGGTGTGTTGTGTGTGGTTTGTTGTGTATTATGTGTGTGTGTGTGTGTGTGTGTGGTGAGTGGGTGGTGTCTGTGTGGTGTGTGTGTTTATTTGTGTGTGAGTGTGTGTTGTTGTGTTTTGTGTGTGTGTGTGGGTGTGTGTCTGTTTGTGTGTTTGTGTGTTGTGAATGGTGTTGTGTGTTGGTGTGTTGTGTGTGGTGTGTGGTTTGTTGTGGGTTTGTGTGTGGTAGTTGGTGGGGTTGTGTGTTGTGTGGTTGTGTTTTTGTGTGTGTTGTTGTGTGGTTTGGTGTGTGGTTGGTGTTGTGAGTTGTGTTGTGTGTGTGTTGTGTGGTGTGTGTGGTGTGTGGTGTGTGGTGTGGTTGGTGTGTGTGTGGTGTGTGTGTGTGGTGTGTGTGTGTGTGTGTGGTTGTGTGTGTGTGTTGTGTGTGTGTGTGTGTGTGTATGTGTGTGTGACCTACGCACGGTGGTCGTCTTCAATCCTCACTGACTCTCGCCTGCAGGACAAGGTTCGAGCGGCATGCCCTGTAGTGACACGTATCGTGGCAGCGCGCCGTTCTCTGAAGGTGGAGATGAAATCGACCAGCGAGTACTTATGACGCGCCACTCATGAATGCGCAAAGAATCGGCCTTGTCTATCACCTTCCACGCGTACAGTCAGCTGTGGATGCTGCCGTGGAGTTACACGTCGACCCGACCCGATGACTATTATGATCTGGTACGCGATGCTATAGTACCTCCGCAAGGGTTGTTGGGCAGGAGGTTATGTTTTCACCGCGTCTGTGTGTTTGTTCGGTCGTGATAATTTATTGGGTGTTTTGTGGCGTTGTTGTACAGCCGTAACGTAAAAAGTGTATGACGGATTGTCATTAAAATTTTTCAGGGAATAGTCAGAAGATGGCCTAACTTTAAATTGATGAGATTTTGGTTGGTTCTGATCCTTTATCCAATGTTAATGGGTAATTAATTAATTTTAAATCTTTAGAATTAGGGTTCAGAAATGGGTAAGTTAGAATTGATTACAGAGGTTTGGGTGGTTGAATCCGGATGCAATTTAATTATTTAATTAATTAAATGTTCACAGTGACAGAATGAGCAGCCATGGCGAGACGGTCTGTGTGCTCTCGAGTGCTCTAGTGTGAGGGTAGAATTAGGGAATTACAGCCTGTTCGAGTAGTATCCTGCAGAGCTGTAGTTCGTTAGTTTGGAGCTCTACCCGTCTAGCCCTTGGTGGCTCGCTAGAGCGTACCGATATAAGTACTACGGGTTAGAAGTTAGACCGTCTCACGTTTGTTATTGTTTGTTCTTCAGATGCGAGTCGGAAACGTAGCAGTATCTGCCCTGACCGCCGTGCACGGCACAAGATACGAACTTGGCACGATTCCAGAGATTATATGTAAGTTATGATGATAATTATCACCAAGCGATGGCGAAAGCCGACGGCAGCGACACTGAAACAGATAGATAGATAGATAGATAGATAATAGATAGATAGATATTGATATATAGTTATGATATATAGATAGATAGATAATAGATAGGGAGTTAGGATGAGATTAGCATAGAAGGAGAGGAGATAGAGATAGATAGCATTAGATGAGATAGATAGATGAAGAGTAGAGAGAGTAGATAGATTAGTATTGATGGTGATATATATATAGTATTATATATAGAGAGATAGTGATAGAGTTAGATTATGGATAGATAGATAGATAGATAGATGATAGATAGATAGATAGATAGATGGACGGACGGACGGATAGATAGATAGATAGATAGATAGATAGATAGATTGATAGATAGATAGATAGATAGATAAATGGGTGGATGGATGGATGGATGGATAGATGGACGGACGGACGGATAGGTAGGTAGATAAATAAATAGATAGATAAATAGATAGATAGATAGATAGATAGATAGATAGATAGATAGATAGGCTTCGATGAGCTTATCACTCGATTCGTTGAGCTATCGACGAGCAATAACTTAATAAACACGAGAACTAGGGTTTTGAAGTAAGTGCTCAGTGCGGGTAAACGCAAAGTTGGCGATCCCACTCAAAATTCACTCAGCGACGAACTGCATACGCACACGAACACACGCCCATTCCATGAAAACATGTAATATATCACGTGAAAACAAGCAACGCGTGTGCGAATATACACATACTTCTGTACACATCAGGTGTGTACGAAAGCAGATCTGTACTCATTTATTTGTACATGTACATGTACATGTACACACCTATATATAATCCTTGTCCGCGTGTTCGCAGACATCGCCTCTGGCAGCGAGACAGACTGGGTGAAGGCGGTTCTCGGTGTGAAGTACTCGTACGCCGTCGAACTGAGAGACAAAGGTCGCTACGGCTTCCTGCTGCCTGAAAATCAGATCAAGCCGACGGGAGAGGAGACGTGGGCGGCCGTGAGGGCGATGGCTGTTGATATGTTCCTGTAGGGAGGCGCTGACGGGGCGAGCGCGAGGAACGACGCGAGTAGAGATGCACCCCACGCTTCTACTCTACATTCTACGACGTACCTTGAGAGCTTTAATGAACGATGCCAGCAATAAAAATAAATAAGGATAAATGCAATTTGTGTAATATATAGCGTAACATGCATGAATAAATACAGTCAAACCTGTGCTGTTAGAGGGTATACCTTCTTACAATGGACACTTTTGAGGGGTATCCTTTGAGTGGCCCCTATATACAGGTTTGGTTGCATATATATATAAATATAAACTAAAGAATTAAATAAAAAAATTATATATATATATATATTTAAAGCACAACAAATATTCACCGCGTCTCTTAAATGAGAGTGAGATATTTCTATTGTGCTTACAGTGATTTATAGATCTGCGGGTTTATGCGAATAATTAGATGGTAAAAAAATCAACGTGTAGGCCTAACAGATAACAGCGACCTTTGAAATGTAATATTCTTGATTAATAATAATATTGCGAAAGAAAAGAACAATTACTAGTTTTTGTTTTATTTGCTAATCCGGGTTTACTGGCCGAATTGTAGTATAACAAAGCTAAGATGAATCGAGCTATGGCGCACTAGATAAGCTTTCACGCGCATGCGCGTGTGAATGTGCATGTGCGTGCGTATCAGGTATAGCTTTAAACAATCCTGGGTAAATAATCGTGATTACACACACTCCTTCGCGCCGCTTAACCCGTGAAGTAACTGCTGCGTCCCCGCGTCGTGGTTGCAGCGAAGGGATTTTCTTCCGCAATCGCTGCCGAGAATATTGCCTCAGATTTTTTTACCATTTCCTCCGTAAATTTGTTAATATAATAATGTTATTTAATTATGCCGACAATCTTGCAGCGTGCGTGATCATAATGATCATAATTTATTTAACTTTATTTAAAATTAATTATCGTCCTTATAGGACATAACACGACAATCCACACTCGCGCATTTATATGCGCGTCCGGCGCATGCGCGAGCCGTTAGTCATTAATAAGTAATATCGGAAAGTCCAGCTATGTTATTTCAGTCATAGAAAAATGTGGTATTAAATGGCCGAGGCGCGCTTAAGAAATTACATGACTAATGTAAACACAAACATTGCAAACTATCCCAATTTACCACAATCATATTTGTAAATGTTTGTGCTGTAAACAGACACGCACCTGTGAATTGAATTACGATGTTAGTGACGAGAATTATACATCAAAAACCTAGACTAGTACTATCGTAACCATGTTATATATAGGTAACATATCACCCCTCTGATCTCAATGTGGCGGCGGAGACTTTCCGATCTGTCTTATTGGGAATCTTTTCAATGGACACATAAAGGCTCGCGTTAAATATTATCATATAATAAATTATAATATAGTAATAATTAACATTAGAATATATGATCATCGTTTAGTGTCATGCGTTGCAAAGGGAGCAATATCTTACCGTGACGTTCATATGTTTCCGTAGTAGCCTTTCTACCTTCT